AGTCATGGAAAGTTGGAAATTTTTTTAAAAGTCATGGAAATCAAGATCTTGTAATAAGGGTTATTTTTGATGGGCCGCTTTAAGGATGGTTGTAAGGGGAGGAGGAGGCCACTGTGTATTTAAAACATATTTTCAAAAGCTAACAAATGGTTAGCCTAACATCAGCAGTTCATCAGTATCATAATACCAAACAACTTTTCTCTGCAAAATGGTGTTAAATGTCCTGGAAATTGTCTTATTTTAGTCCTGGAAAAGTCCTGGAATTGGGTTTTCAGATTTCTGTGGGAACCCTGTCATTCACACTTGTATTTATTTAGTTTTTACCAGTACTTTTGTAGCACCCTCTTCTTCCCCGTTTCATCGATTGATTCCCTTCAGCTTCTTGGGTCAATAATTTGTGCAAATTAATTGACATCTTTGAATTACGCTGACTGGCTGACTCTCGGTCGTTTGGCCAGCAGAGAAAAACCGGCAGTGTATTGAATCACTCGGAAAATGAGCCCTATCAATATTTAATGGTTATTCATGGGCATCCAACAGAAAACCGACAGTAGGCAGATGCATCCTATAACACATGTGTCTATTATCGTCAAGTACCGGTATGTATTGTTGTGTAGTTTAATTTTATTGCACGGTATGCATACGTATTTAAACAAAAAGTCCGAGTATACTCAATTGTTCATATTGAGATGCAGCTTCTTTTATGGAGTTTGTGGAAATAATTATTGTAGTGATGACTCCTACTCAGGATTTACAGAATGTAATGGGTTTTTGTTCAGTTTGATTTTTGTAAAATAAAAACAAGGGTTTTCTCCTATTGTATAGGAATGCCAAAATCAGATGACACAAATTTGTGTACTGTTGCATTTCTCGCAAAAGAAAAAATAAATGATAATGAAAAAATAAATAATAATGTTTACATGAATGGATTCCAAAGATAGTGCGCATTATAAATACTGTATTATTATTATTATTGTTATTATTATTATTATTATTTACCAGTGCATACATGTACGTGAACTACTGGTACGTGAACAATTTCTCTGCCCTACCGGTATATTGTTGAATCTATCTGCCTTTAAAGCCAGAGTCCATCATTTGCAGCTATCCAAAAAGTAACTGGCATAATTATTGTTGAAAAACATGCTTGGTTGAACTTGAAAGATTGTAAGGGAACTAAACTCCCTGTGAAATTATTGTTTCTGGCAAGCTGTCATTTTGAAGAAATCAACAAAAGAAGGCCTTTCCAACGGTGCTTCTTAAGAAGCACCGCAGGAAATTCAAATTAGTAGTTTGTTTTGTTATTCAGCACCCTTCTTTAGATCTCGAGCATTTTTTTTTTGCTTCAAACGAACAAAATGCACAAATTACAAATGATGGACTATACCTTTAATGTACCGGTTAGTGCAATGTGCATATTTGCGTAGCAAATCCTAACCAAAACCAAAATCTTTTTTCAACTTTGTCTCCCATCAGGTTGTGAAAGTTTCACTGTTCCTTTAATGCATCATAAAGATGCAATGAGCTGCAACTGTGCCCAAAAAAAAGGGAAAAAAAAGAAAATCCGCATCGACCCCAAAAATATTGGCAGCCAAACACAGCATTCCGGTAACCGGTATCGACTTTATTTATAGTCCAAAAGATCACTGCGTTGTCAATAACTACATCGTTGTTGACCGATTCCCCTGCGCCCCGGTGTCAATTGTCATAATTTTTTTCCCTCATGTTCTGTTTGCCTTTTCATTGTTCAAATATAATTTTATAGGAGGCGTTTAATCATGATTGTAAATGAAATGCACAGCCTCGGCAAGCGTGATAGATTATGAGTGTGGGTAAGTGCACTGGTAGGACTGGCTACTGGTATATATTTAAAAGGTGCTGAGCGATAGTAATAGTATTAGTAAAGGGTTCCCAACAAAATATTTCGCCTTCTATAAATGTTTATGTACTAAAAAATATGGGTACCAGAAGTTTTCAATACATGGAGTGCGTTCAAGTCACTCAAGAAAAGGAGCTTGTTTATTCATTTTACATAACATATTTTTTTTCCTATAAAATGTGCGAATAAGTTTTACTTTAGAAGAAATTTACATGTCGAAACTTCTGTGTGTGGCAGTGCTCATTAATAGTAAAATGGCAGGTGATGGGCTTTCAGAATAAAATGATTGGGCTGTAATAAATATCTACACTCAAAATTTATGTACATATTATGTAAATAAATCCCCGAAAATTTCATGTTTTGGATTGTTTACATATCCTATTTCAAACATGTGGTTGAAAAGAAACCAACCTAATGTCTTACTGTTCCCAAGAAAAGACGGAAAAATTCCTGGTTGTTTACATCGGACACGACAGAGTACGAATACGTTTTTCGTGTCGTTCTCTAGTGTACGATATATACACGTTGTGTGTCTCAGGATCAGCGGTGACCAATCACCAATGCATAAAAAATGGTTTCTTCAACGTCCGCAAAAGGCGAACACTTGACGCGTACGAATGAAATCACAACTAGCATCCAAACGGCTCGAATTTATGGGGTCGCAAAAGTGGACCCCGAAATTCGTTCTCGCACACATAATACAGGAATAACACAAAAACGCCCAGTTTTTAAAGGGTGGTTGTGTGGATGTTTCTATCCTAGTTTTAAATGTTCTTTCTGATCAACATAATCTTGTTCAAAGCGCGTTTTGTAGCCCAATTGGGCTGTTCCAGGACCTAGTGTCCCTTTAAAAATTGGTATGCATAGAATACCAGATCAGCTGCATTACAAATGACAGTAATTTGATGTACAGCTGTACGGTACATGACTTGCACATGAATGTACGTACATTGTATGTATCGATCCAAGACTGTCCCACTACATGTAGTTTTAGTGAATGTGATGGCTACATGGACATCCGCGTACATGGCGTATCCATGATTTCCCATATTTCCCGAGTGCCTGAATGTCTTAGCCTCGTCTTCAGTGAGCAGCGTGAGAATGCAGGACGACGTACAGTTCTGCATAACTTCACACCCAAGATGATGACATAATTTCGTTCACTGACCTATGTACATGTACGTGTACACAGGAACCACGAACATGCACAACGTATATATTGCAAAGCTGCCGATGTCATGAAGGCAGAATTTTAATTACAATGATCACACATAATAATAACTGTCCCAGCATGGGCTTTCTCAATGGGTGAACTTGATAGTGTAAACTATCGGTGCATGTACGTACATGTACATGTATGTACCCAAGAACATTAATGTACATGCACCATATACATGTACATGTTATTTTTATTCCCCGAGTTTATAGTCTGTCTGTGTGAGTTTGTTTCTGCATTCAGTAGGGGACGTTGAACAATAGAGGACAATAGGGTCCCCAATTCCGAAGGTCCCCAATTTGGCGATATGTACAAAACATATGAGAGGTCTTCCTAAAAAGTACAAACAAAAGAGGGACAATATAGGGGGTCTCCAATTGCAGGCAAAAACACACTTGGGTGTGTCTGTACATGAAAATGTACATGTGTGTATGGCTCTCATTGTCCGAAGTGAATTTTATGCATCTATTCACGTACATGTACATGTACACATGTAGGCCTATACATGTGTGTACCGGTATGTTCATGTACATAAACACAGTGTGTAACACATGTAAGGTAGGCTGTTGTGATGTTCATGTAGCTGAACATGGATTTTAGCTTATTTTGCAGTGTACAGCAAACAGACTTCTGATTATGTACTTCAAATAAAAAACATAGTACATGTATCATGTACATGCATGCATTATAGTCTTTTGAAGAAAGTTCATATTGGTTGAACTTAAAACCAACATTACAGACATCAGACAATTAAGAAACAAAACACTTATGACAAATAACATCAGTGACCAACAAAAACGAATCAACTTTAAAAGATAGATTTGGAATTTCCGTTGGTATAAACAAGAATTTTAAACCACCTTATCAGGCTATGTCAATTTGGATTGTATTTGCTCTCAACTCCAAGACTTCATAGTGGTGCGCCAAACAAGGGCATAGCAAACACGGATTGTTCAAACACTTCACAATGCTGGAGTTTCCTGTGTGATTTGGCGTTTAATGCTGTCACATTGACTAGTACAGGAGTTCGTACATGTAGTCTGTGTATGTGTCTACGACACTTCAGGTTTAGCCCTCCATAGCTGGCTGTGTTTGGTCAGGGTCAAAGGGGAAAATCAAACAACTTCAGGGTCTACAACAGTACAAGTTTTACAGCAGATAGTGCTGGCACTACCACCAACAGCCGCTGTCCCATTCTTGATAAGACTGTGTTGTGTAGTGCCTCGTGTTGTTGTTCGTATGTATCAAGGTTGTTCAAGTCCGATAGGATTGTTCCCACGTTAGAATGTTATCTCTGAATTGCAGCACTGATGCAAGTATTATGGTTTCAATCACTCCCGGCCCCTGATGTTTGTTTTACTGGCACCACACGAGGGCGCTGTGCGCTCTGATGTTTCACCCGAGCTGACAAATTGAAACAGGCATTGAATTTAATAGCTACATGATTGTATTTTTCACAATCACCAGCCATGCAGCAGCTAACTAAATTAGATTGAAAACTGCTAAGTTATACTCGGGATGATCACATTTCCAAACTTTGGCCATTACCCCTGCCTTGTCAATTCTTTTCGCCTGAAAATTGCCACAAGCAGACAAGATGAATTCAATGGGAGAATCTTACCCTTGTTGCCCTGCAGTAGGTAGGCCCATACATAATGCCTAGGATATCTAGTTACCCTCGTAAATTGCTTGTCACTTCGCCAGTTAGACTAGCTCTATCAATTCATTTGGCTCCATCAGGGCGGAAAACGTTCCGCGTGTTGTTCTGATTACTGTCGGGCACGTATGTGTTGACATACAATGTAATATTGCTCATTTTCTTCTCCCACTTGTCAGCTTTTGCTCTTCTTATGATTTTCACTAATCAATTTGGGTTTCTTGCTCCTTTTTTTTTCTTTTCTGCAGAAATCAGCAAAGTGCGCAAGAACATGTACAACATCAACAACGACAACACGCCTCTCGTACTTCCAGAACCTCAAGGCCCAACAATCACACTCTCAGAGAAACTTTTTGTACCGGTCAAAACATACCCAGATGTAAGTATTGTGGGACCCTTAAGAATTTGTCTTCATTTGTTGGAAGACTGTTTGAGATGGGGGGGGGGGGGGGTAATAAATACTCATATAAAATGATTAGAAATGCATTACCCTAAAAGCATTGGTTAAGAGGGGGGGGTGGAGGTTAAGGTTAACAAGCTAACTGGGTCAGTTGTGGAAAGTGGCATTTCAACCCTGGACTATGGGCCTGAACTCGGGAGGATGAGTGACTCCCTCAAAGCTTAAATTGCATGGGTTGGCTTGCTCCTTGGTGATTCTACCTTCACTCTAGTCTCATTGGCTTAATTCTCAAGTGTGCATTAATATGCAGTTTCTTTTGATGCATGTGAAGATATTTAAATTAAGGTTACCCAGCATCAGACGCCAAAAGAACAACAACGTATCGACCGCTTTTTGACTTATAAATCTTAGATAATGAGGGACTTTTTCAAGCCCTTCTCTCAGACTTGCCCTTGCTCCCCGAAAATAATTTGCATGAAGTTGATAATAAAGATGACGCCGATGATCACGACGGTGCCCTCCGCCAGGGCGGCGTGAAAGCGTCAATATTCCGGCCGCGTTCCCCGTTGCAGAGCCACTCAAGGACTCGAGTCTCACTGGGCGGCACTTGTCACCTGCATCTGCGGCTGAGTTTACAGGCCCTTGAACCTGGACGACGAAGACTTAAAACTACTCTCTGTCTAGTTGCCGTTTGCTACTGTGGAGGACGTCCGAGCGTGATTTGCATATATGGCATCTCAGACATACCAACGAATGATAATAATACTGCCTGAACGGAATGTAAATTCTTTTCCCCCTGGTTATGTTTTGGTTTTTCCGTTGCGCGACGTTTCTTCAAGTTACTTATTGATTATTCGGGGTGCATCTTGAAAGATGTAATCAGTCAGACGTTATTCAAATAGAGTTGTACTGAATTGATGTTGCGTTTTCTGAGAACACAGAGCTGTTTTGAAAAGAAAGTTGATTGACATACATACATGTTGTTTTTGTAGTTGGCACAGTTCACTTTTTCCCTTGTTTATGAGGGAGAATGGTTCCTGTTCTTATTGAAATGTAAACAATAGTATACAAAATTAACATGGTTTGAGGGTGGACAGTCGATATTAGCTCCCCTCGGTATTGCCAATACCGAGGGGAGCTTATGTCGACTATCCACTCGAAATAAACCATGTTGTATTTTACTATACCTCATACAAAAATCAGTTGCCAAATGTTGCCGTCGCTGTTTTTAGTAGAGGAGGCATCTTTATTGTCCACAATGTTCTCCAGTTCTGCATCATTGAGCTCGGGAAAACGCTGATTAACAGTTATGTGTGCCTCCATCTTTTCATGTGTAGCTAGGGCCGTGTTTGCGCGTGCGTACTATACCTGTGCGACAGTTAATGATTGCTTAGTAAAGCGCATGCGTAGTAGACGACTGCAAGGGGTAACCCATGTGATGCGTGAATACTCTCGTCCGCGCTTGGTAAACTGCAAAAAGTAGCGGCTGGCACTTCAGGGTGAATGGACCAGTGAGAATTCAGCTCTCTATCATGAATATGTAGGAGGTATTATGATTTCAAATAAGTGATTTCATTTCTTGTGATGCAATAGTTGGTCGTATTTAATAAAAAAACTTTTGGGACACCTGCTGTATTTTCAAGTTCATCGCAAATCCTCACAAATCTACCACAAGCCGATTTCAAATCAAGTCACTAGTTATTCAAATGATGTCTGACAAATGCATTCTATTGTTTTTATTCGTCCCTTGTTTTTGCGTGACTGGACTTATGAACTGACCGTGTGATTTACTTGTGACCAGACTTGTGATGACCAGACTCGACCACAGCACTAATATCCTGGCTCTTCTGATACTCTGCCATCCGTCTCAGGCTCTCAGCAAAAGCAGTGAGACCTCGCATGAACTCTGCCTGCACTGTGTTGTTCTAGAAAACAGCCATTATTACATTAGATTACGCCATGTAATATATCGCGCATCATTTCTCCGTCCGATCCCTCCTCGCGTAATTGGCTTTTCTGGGGGAATTCACTGGAGATTGTCTTTGAATCCTCTCTCAAGAGGTTGCAAATTTGCAAGAAACGGAGTGTCTCTAAAACATCCCCTTTTCTCCAATATCGCCGGATTTGGAACTCGATTCCATGAAAATTAGACTGCATCCTGGATGTGTCCTTTTTGAAGGAGTCAACTTTTTGTTTTCCAGTTGGCCTACATGTACATGTGTATGGATTATAATACTGATCCAATAAAATCACGTTTTTCTTTCACATGCAAAGTGACCATATTTAATGCAAATGAGAAACCCTTTTTTTGATAAGCATGTAAAAACTGCACTAGTCAGTTCAAAGACTATAGTCTCAATTCTTTTACAAGCACAAAAGCTAGTAATCAGACAATAACAAATTTCAGCCACTTTTATTCATATTGCAGTGAAGGTCAATTTGAATCGGGCTTCATTCCTCCTCAGTGCTTGGCTGATTGCCATACACATACCCTGCCTTCTCCAGACAATTTAGTTTGTCGGTGCTTAGAAAGTCGCGCTTAATTAAGCCCTGCTGCAGTTAACAACGGAAATGTCATATACGCGGCGTATTATTCATGCCCGGAAAGCGTACCTACATTGTACACAATCTACATAATTACAGACAACAATATCCCCGCCGGCAATTTCAGTTATACTGTATGCTGCGGTCGGTTTACATGTTAATGAGTTTGTGTCGGCGGGGTGGCTATGAGTCTCGTGGGGCCAAGACGGGATTGGCTTTGGAAAACAGGAAAATGGCACGTGACGACATTTTTGAAGAATCAACATTTGTCAACCTTGTTAATGGGTGTCTGTCAACAAACAGATGCTCCCAGGCAGATATCTGGATGGTTTGGAGCTGGATTCGAACCTCCCGTTTGCTGATCTAAAAAAAGACCAGTCCCACCGATGACTTGATGATACACATTCCTTTCAACATTTCCCCTCCTCTTGTTGCATTTAGCACCTCACATAGCCCACCAATCCCCCATCATGTGATGCGATCAAGCTAAATGAGTCGTTTGTCAGGAATTTTAATTTGGAGATACAGGCTAAAATAGGGCCACTTCATTGCATCACTTCATCACATCGCTTGGTGTTCTGACTTCCATAATTGTTGAACTAAAGATGGTATCAGCATGCGGTTTTCACAACAGTAATGCTGAGGTTGTACTCTTTTCAAATCTGTAATTTTGTTGGACCAGGGTCGACAAACGACTCATGTAGCTTGATGGCATCATATACCGGTATGCACAAGTATGGTAGTCTTGCCCCCTCCCCAAATTAATCCACCTTACATTGTAAATCAAACCACATTTTGACTTGAAGTTGAACTATGTACATGTACTTCAGGCCAATCTCAATGAGCTGCTACTTAGCACAAACAGAAATTGCTTAGCCCAAACAAAAATTGCTTAGCGCAGTCATGTTATGCACGGCAAAAAGCAGGGCCCAATTTCATGGCTCTGCTTACCGTTAGCCAAAAATCCCTGCTTACTGGATAGCAGAAAATTTCATGCTTATGGTTAGCATGTACCAGTTAGCAATTAACCTGGGTCCATGCGCATCCTTACATCCCGTTATTTAAGATTCTGTGTTTACAGGGTTAGCACAGAATGGTGATCGTAGGTGCGGAATACTGTCATGAAAATGGGTCCTGACTATGCACATTGCTTGTAACTGTTCTTAGCTGATTTATGCTAAGCACATATTTTTGTCGCCCTGCGTTCCATGTGACTGGCCCCTCTGATCTCACATCGTTATGAGCTTTGTGCAAGGGGCCAGAAAGCACATGGCACTGTGCCCACATCACAGCGCAGGGAGCTACTGAATAAACCATCGGCTAGGCTCTTTCCCTTAACACCTCCCAACCCATCGCCGTCATTGTTCATTTAACCAGCGATGTATCTGACCGTTTGGCTGTCCCCATAGGCGCTAAACGGCAATAAAGAAAAGAACTCCTGGCTATCTATCCCTCGAGGGACTTCTGTGTTTGCTCCTTAGCAGACAGTAAGAAATGAAGTCCGCTTTCTCATGTCGTTAAATGATAACTGACTTATTATGATTTCTAATGCATGAAATTGATACTGCCCAATTAAAAATTGACCAGTTTACCGGGAGTGTGCTTGCAAGTATGATGGAATGTAACATGTGGACTGTTTATTAATTAATTTTCAGATGGTTAGTTAAGAATGCCATTAGTGAGATATCTCAATGTTTTAATTCTTTGAAATTGAATATCCTTTACTGGTAATTGTGAAATTGATCGGCCAAATAGAGTCACAAGTTCGAAAAAGGTTCCTTTGAGTAATAGGCATTTTTACAAATCCTTGCATACCAGTAATCCACAAGAATAGTCAATATTTTCACCAACATACCAGTACTGATACAATATAACAGATATTAAGATTAGAGCTGTCCATTTTCAAATAATTAAGTATTCGATTACTCGAAACTGTGTTTGACCGAATATTCAGATGTTCAAAACTGCCAGCTGCCAATGCGTGCCGTGCCGGTCAAAAGTTGCATGCATAGCACGCCAGTTAAAATTTGTGTGCCGAGATCGATATGGAGTGTTTTGCAGTAAGTATCTTATAAATGTCAAGGGCTTTCACCTGCTAAAAGGATGGAAACAATGAACGACCATCGACAAAAAAGTTACTGTGAACCAAAAAAAGTGTACAATAAAACGCTACGACAGTTGTGTGTGTATGTGCGTAGTTTTTGTGTTTCAAATATTTAAAAGCGGCAAAGAATTATTCTAATGTTGGGTTGATGATCGAATATTCAGCCCTAATTCAGATGTCACACTGATTGAAAATGCTCTTTTTATTGCAAATGAAAAATTAATTAGCCAAAGAAATATTTCTGTAAGACTCATTTTGTGGTTTCCTATCTCAAATAGTTGAATAGTTGGGTTGATGTGTGCATTACAGTTTAAACACTCGCTTGCTCAGT